TAGTTATATTGGGTCATTCCATAAAAGATCCACACTCCCCCACGGTGGAAATTTCTGCCGTTCGAAGAGGGACGGGAGAAAAAATTGTTTGTGATAATAGTAAATGTATTAGGACATTCGAAGGGGGTAGGGGGGGGGGGGTTAACTTCCAATTTCCTCCATGGGGGTGGTATGGATGTTTTCTGGAATGACCCATTGAAATGATTGATTTTGAGGGAGAATACAATCTTTAACTTAAATAAAATATCATAAAAACAATGCATGCAGAGGTTTTTCAGAAGTAGCATTCAAGGCCAGCCAGCCCAACTCCTGTGAACAGCCCTTTATTACACATTTGAAGCATCTCTTGAGGCATCAAAGTACGTGCATGCACATGGACATAAGCCCATCATTGCACAACTTTGTCTGCACCAACACAATCAAGCGGCTGGAAACGGATTTTGTCGGTACTTTGATATATACATTATTTCTGATGTCTAAAGACACCTGCACTTTCATATTGAAATTGTTCTGATTCCATCAGAGCAAAACACATCAGAAAACTACAACATCAGCAAAATGAGCAAATCACTTTTATAAACACGTTCTACTATAGGGTCCACAATATTCTATTTAACAGAATTTGAGAGGAAAATAAAAGAAAACACTAAAAAATGCAATGAATACAGCCATGACTGTGGAGAAATTATACATAAATGTAATAATTCTGCATGAAAACAAGAATTCCTTGTCAAACATGATAAAAATTGGTAAAAAACATGAGAATAATTGCAAATGTGGACAATGACAGGTTTCATGTTTTAATAGGAAAATCACATCAAATCACATCAACTTTGAAAAGTTGGTCAAAATTTTTGAAAAGTTGGTCAAAATATTTGAAAAGTTGGTCAAAGGAATTATTTAATTATTAAACGAAATCTCATATTATTTACAAAAATTTTAGAAAATCCAATTTAGAGAAAAAAATTTTTAAACACGAAAACGTTGGTCATTTTCATTGAAAAAGTTGGTCATTATGGTATAAGGCCCCCCCCCCCAATCTGGAATCGTTCGCCACGCCCCTGATGCCACCTTCGATATATCGAAAACTCTAAACTATCCAATGATGCTTCGATATACCGGTATCGAAAGAATGCCATTTCTTCGATATATCGAAAGAATGCCATTTCTTCAATATATTAAAAGAATGCCATTTCTTCGATATATCGAAAGAATGCCATTTCTTCGATATATCGAAAGAATGCCATTTCTTCGATATATCGAAAGAATGCCATTTCTTCGACATATCGAAAGATTGCAATTTCCTCAATATATCGAAAGATTGCAATTTCCTCGATATATCGAAAACTAAACTATCCATGGCTTCTATATATTGAAAAAATGCCATTTCTTCGATATATCAAAAGATTGCCATTTTTTCAATATGTCGAAAACTCTAAACTATCCATGGTTTCGATACATCAAAGAAATGGCATTGTTTCGATATATCGCAGAGATGACATTCTGTCAAATTCAATATGTGAAAAACCAAAAGGATGTCATGTCTTGCCAAAACAAGCCATGTTTTAAATATTGATAGTAAAACAACAAAGTAGGGCACAATTCAGCTCAATGGGTTAGCAATATGGTATACACTCAAAATATAACACATAAATTTCTATGATAGGGTTGCATATTCTATTTAGCTATAATCAAAATAATCACATGTATAGTGAGGGCCGCCAAGAGCGGGGGGGTGGATTATAAAGAGCATTTTTGAAATTGAGGGCCACCTACAGCACCTCCACATGCAGTCTAGCTAAGGTTTAGTTGGGTCTAGCTTAAAAATAATAATGTCATGGGGCGCCCAGGGAAGGTTTGCTTCGGGCCCCACAAATTCTCTAGGCAGCCCTGTGTACAGTATAGCTAGCTATATTAATTATACATATACAACAACAACATATGTATATATCTATATTGACTAAAATCACTTCATTAGACAGTACAGTATACAGTAGTAACAACTAAATTCAGTTTTAAGATTTTCTTCTGCCCTATAACTGTACTATTGCTTTAGGCAATTTTCCCACGACAATGCATTTGGACCCAGTAACATGCAGACCACTGCAGATAAACCAGTCCCACAGCAGCAATGTAATACATCAAAAGAGTTTATCTTCACAAAACATTACATGGTACTGATTATATACCTTCTTGTATAGCTGTGCTATACTGTCAATCTCCTTTATCAGGTGGTCTGAACCCTCTTTGTTTAGACCCCGTTCTTTTGTGTTTGATGTACTACAGCATGCAAGAGTGATATATCATTTGGTTTACATCAATCTAAAAGAATGGAAAAAAACTATAAGAACAGACACCATTACAATTCTTACTGGAATACTGCCAATCAAAGAACACAAGAGAATCAGATATATAATGGCATACCGTAAACCTCCCAATATATGCCCTGGGCTTATATTCGTTCGTAAAGATTTTTTGATGGGGGCTTATGCATGTACAGGGGCCTTACATACTTTTATATAAATAATTACATCAAACTTTTCGACAAAACGCGAGAATTTTTCATCAAAAATTCTTGCTTGAATTAGACAGATGGGGAAGTAGTCTGGTCAACAGTGGTTTCAAAACATCTCATAGTAGATGTTGCGTTGGGAAGAGTAGGAATTGCAACCGCAGGCCGAACTTCGCAACTTGGGGGATCTGACGGCTTGCTTCCAGAAAATTTTGAATTTCTAGACTCTAGAAGATGCATTTTCCAGCATTTATTCTTGAGACACAAAAAAATCTTATTTTTAATGTCTAAAACACTGTTAAATTAATGTTCTTATGATTAATGCCTAATACCAACACGTCCAATAACAATAGCGACCACATTTTCGCTAGCTTTCGTTGTCGTTTTCCCGCCATTTTGTTTTTGTTCTTGGAGACGAAGTGACATCTTACATGTAAAGTACAATCTGTTAGAAACAACTACCAATAAAACCTCTGAGCCTATCCTCAACGCGCAAGAGACGTATCAAAGCTTCTGATCTGTGACTGTGGCTATGTTTGGACGAAATTCCAGGGGAAATACACGCTTGTTTGCTCACAAAACGTTTTGTAAACACTTTAATATTTTAACAGAATTTATAGTTACTTACAAAAGAGAAAGTAGCCGTCGCAAATGGAAGAGTGGCAGTCGGATGCGACGGGCGACGGCTTATTTTGAAACCACTGGTCAACCCATTGAAGTAGTATAGGAACTGCCTAAGCGAGACCACTTATTTCAGAGCGAGACCACTAATTTTTGCCTTCGGCAAAAACAAGTGGTCGCGCTCCTCAATGAGTGTTCCCACTTCAGCAGTTCCACGGTCAATTTATTTTGGAATGTGGAACTGCTATTCTGAGGTCTGTCCGAAATGCTTTTCATTTAACTTATCTCAAAGCTTCGGGATCACCTTATCAGTCCAGCGCTACTGAGACTTTAGTATGATTATCTTAGGTGTGATTCTAGACTTTTCCAATATCGTACAATTTTCCTATTCTAGAGCCTCTTCGACAACTTTTATTTTCTCCTTGGGGGTACATAAGGCAGGGGGCCCTTCCTGCTTATTTACCCTTTAGGATTATTACTTTCTACTCTGTGGGAACTGCTCAGTCACTGTTTTTTATATTCTTGTTACCATAAGCATAACTGGTAACTCCATCCTCCAAAAGATGCCTTTTATCATCAAAGCAACTCAGAGTAACCTTCCTCATCTCATAAGTTCCGATTGTATGCTTCGTGCTCCTGATTGTATTCATATTGTGTCTCATCCTACCCTTCTTGTTGATTACATTCTTGAAGTTCTCATGAGTGAGCTTGTTTCTGATGACATACTTCTTAACCCCTTTAGCTGTCATTCCACCCCCACCGTTTTCCTTGACATAGGAGTACATTTTTTACCTTAACCCAACAAACTCAATTATGGGTACTCCTCCAGCTTCGTCCTTGAACTTACCAATAACCTTCTTGTTATGTGTTGAGTAGTAAGGGCTGTCTTTTGGGTAATCTGAATTATCCCAGCAGTCTTGCTCTTCACCAATCCTCTTGAAGTCCTCATAGACATCATCCGTCTTCAGTTCGTACATCAGACTGTCAGTATCGGTGAACAGTAACCTCGAACTATTACGGTATTTCTTCTTAATGGTGTTGTAGTGGAAATCGTACATTAAAGTCTTAGATAAGTCTAAGATGCTCATTCCCACATAACACGGCTTATTCAGCGTTAGCACTTCTTTCATCCTTTCTACCACTATAAGATTCTCATTCATGATTCGGTGTGACTGGAAGCACGGTGATGCTGTCAGTTTTAGGAGCTCGTCTTTGGAGGACACTAATTTCACATCAAGCCTTTTCCTAAGATTCTCCATAGTCTTTCCGTAGATCGAGTTGTTCATCAACTTGAAGAAGTTCTTTTCGAACGTGTTACGGGCTACTGACCTTTTCTTCGTATTGAAGTCTATATAGTCCTTAAGCCTGGGAGACTGCTTGAATGTAACCGCTCCATGGATCTTCGTGAGTTTGATCCCAAGGTCTGTGTACAGTTTCAGATTACGTACATGTAAGACGTACTTCTTCCTGGGGCCTAGTGAAGTCACTAGTTTTCTTACTCCTCCAATTGTCAGTTGGAATTTCTCAGCAATACTCTTCGCATAATCTGACAACATAGAAGCACTGATTTCCTTACTCTCCGGTGCTAGAGGATAACCGTTATGTAGATCGTGAAGTTCTTGTGGATATTCCAGGTCAACCTCCAAAACCATCCCTCTTTCGTTGTCTCCCAAGTAATCCTCTAGATTCATACCGTCAACTTCCTCAACCCACTCGAACTCTCCATTGGGTAGTGGTTGTGACATCGCCCAGCCATATAAATTATTAGCGTCGAGGTACATCAGATACTTGTTCTCAGACGACTCATCGTACGTCTCCATGTACTTATTATTAGCTGCGGAGTGTCTATGAGCAATATAACTTCTACCACCTCTCATATCCTTCTCGAAGAACTGGAACATATCCATATCGCTTACGAGTTCTATTTCTCCACCTGACTTTTTCAGGAAAGCGTCCCAACTCAAACTAGGTGCTGACACGTAATGTGCGGGGTCAAGTTCATAACTTTCCAGACATGTTCTCCTGAAGTTCTCAAACACATCGGCCAGCAGAAGAACGTCAGTCTCCAAGTAGAGGTCGTGGTAGTCTCTCATGGTTTTCATCTTGAAGTGATCCCATACTTTCAGAGCTCTCTGGTAATCTTCCTCCTTCACCTCTGACTCATACAGTGACGAGTAGAACTTATCCTTGCTCGAAAGACCTTCTGTATTGAGTTTGCTAATATCATCGAGGAACTCATATGGGAGCACTCCTTTTTGTGTCACTAGATTGAAGTCCTCACCCTTCCACCTCTTACCTACTATCCTGAAGTCCTCAGGTGAAAGGTTACTCACCAGTGCTTCCAGTGAAGAAGCCATGAACTGTATAGAGTCTATGAAGACCAGATTCTTACCCAGTGAGAATGAGATGTATTTTTCCATATTATTTGGGATCACATTAACATCCATCTTGAACTTACCAATTTCCTGCATAATCAGATGACTATCATAACCTCTCAGGTTGTGGAAGACCACAGGTACAATGACAGGTGACATCGATATGGGAGGTAATAAGATAACCAATCTTGATGATCCTACTAATCCAGGTGATGTCGCTAATAAGAGGTGGGTTGAAGCAGGGCGTAGTAAAACACGTGTTTTACTACGCCCTGGTTGAAGGTAGTCGTAGACATATACATGCTAGTCTACCCGGTCTTATCCTCACAAATGATCTCAATATGTCAACCAATGAAATAAAGGCTTTGGGTGATCCCACTACTGGAAAGTCTGCTGTTAGCAAGGACTGGGTCGTTGGGATGCTAAATAGACCTATATCCGGACTTAATATTGGTGGTGATATTGATATGAAAGACCATGAGATTAAGAATCTTAAGGATCCCTCTGAGGATCAATCTGCTGTTACAAAAAAGTGGTTTAAATCAAATGGTGATACATTTTTAAGACTTGATGGAACTGGAAATAGGGTGTTAAAAGTGTTCTTCATTTTGAATACCCTCCACAGTGTTACAAAGAAGCAACAAACGTAAACCAACTTATTAGGTTTGGTCAGCTTCAAAAATATACTAGCTACCTAGTAAGGTATTGATGAAATGACTGGAAGTCTTAAAATGGGAGGAAATGAAATTAAAAATATTGGGGATTTTACAGATGATAAGTCTGCTGTTTCCAAGAAGTGGGTTAAAAATGTTTTATCTGCGTTAAATTCTAAATATAATAGCTTGTATCTTAAAGGGAATGGTATCAACCTAACTAGTAACATTTATACAAACGGCTTCCAAATCTTCTCCAATATAGCTCCTAGTGGTCAAAATTCACTTGTCACAAAAAAGTGGGTCGAAAATAAGATTAGGGGTGGTAGGACAAGGCGTGAGACTTATAGTGGATTAACACTATCCGATGACCTTGATATGGGAAATAACGAAATTATAAAGCTAGGTGCTCCTACAACAGATAATTCTGCTGTGTCTAAAAAATGGGTCACCGATCATGTTAGTGGAAGTTCGATCAATAGTAGCGGATTTACAATGACTGGTAATATTGACATGGGTGGGTATAGTATAACTGGTCTTAAAAGTGGGTTCGCTGGAGCAACCGCTGCACTTTCCAATAGTGAGATAAACTCTTGGGGTTTACAATTCTTAAAGCGTGATGGTGGTACTTTAGCAAGCAATCTTGATGTAAACAATTTCGAGTTAGTCAAGGTGGCTAATCCAACAACTGACGGTTCTGCTGTAAATAAGAAATGTGCAACCGATGAGTTCATGAGTAGTAGAGGTGGACTGGTAAAGGGTGATTTGGATATGGGAGACTCAAGTGGTATTATTGATCTAAAGGACCCTGTAAATCCTAAGGATGCTGTAAACAAGCAATGGGTGGAAAATAATTTCCTGAAACCTTCCTCAGGTCTTGTCCAAGCAACAGCTGATAATAGATATGTTAGGAAAATTCACCTTATTTATTCACAGTGGATCTGGGGATATCGCGGAGTATCGGTTGCAGCAACAAGGTACTATGCTTACTGTTAAGATCAGATTCCACCATCATGGAGAACAGATACTATTAACAATCCAACGGACCTCAACCTTGAGTCAATTACTATTAAATCAGATTCCCCACTTCTTTCGGTCGTTACTAAAGTACCCCTAGGACTCATCCTGTGGGCTACTGTATGGGAAAAGCAGTCCAACGGAAAATTTATACAAGCTAAAAAGGAAATCGTCCTCAGCGCAATTGACTTAAGAAGGCTATCATACACTTACTTCAACGGAACTTACACAAATAATGGTGGAAGTACAGCTTGCTACGTTTTCAAGGGTAATAGTATGTTCTATTTAGGAAACCAAGCTGAGTTGGTAGATAACACGCTAGCCTGGTGTGTCATCGTTAAACCAGAACACTCAATGCCTATTGGTATGAGTATGGACCTGTCTTTTTGTTGGTCACTGTTATATTCAGGGTCAGGTGGATAACATGGGTTGTATCGTAAGGCATCATGTCAAAGTGGCGTTCATGCTTCTCATGTATGGGTAATATCTGTGGCTGTCGTAAAAGGTCTAATAAAAATGGGAAGGCTGGTGATATAAATTTCTCTGTATCCAATGATATTCGTGTTGAAGTGAACACACAGGGTGAAAAAGATGATGCCAACAGTGTATCCGGACTACGAAGACCCCCTGCCTTATGTACCCCCAAGGAAAAAATAAAAGTTGTCGAAGAGGCTCTAGAATAGGAAAATTGTACGATATTGGAGAAGTCTAGAATCACACCTAGGATAATCATACTAAAGTCTCAGCTGGACTGATAAGG